AAAAAAAAAAAAAAAAAAAAAAATTCTCAGTCTACTTCCAATATAAACTGACAGCAATGTAAAAAAATAAATAAACCAAACCCTTTCCTCTTGCGTCAATTCTGACTCATGACAACCCCATGTGTTACAGGGTAGAAGTGCACTCCATAGGATTTTCTTGGTTATAATCTTTACGGAAGTAGATCCCTAGGGCTTTCTTTTGCGGCACCGCTGGGTGGGTTAGAACTTCCAACCTTTAGGTTAGTAGTTGAGCACAAACCATTTGCGCAGCGTAGTAACCTGATACCAGTATAGGTGAATGGTAATCAGGAACTTACAAGGAAACTTGTCTAACCAGGACCTGTGTTAATTTCTCGTACTGTAATTGCTAGAACCCAAAAAGACCATGGTGAGCGACTGCAGGCAAAATTCCTTCCCCTTTATTAGACAGTGCTAGATTTGGTCCTACCTTATTGCCACCAGTTTCAGCTTCTACTTTCTTGGTATTGGAATGGCATTGGAGGCCTCTTCTATGAATTGGGATTTTTGTGGGCAGTATGATCCTGATGGCCATTGCTTCCCTAAGGTCTAGCAGTATGTTTCTGTCTCTGGGGGGTAACATTCTCAGTCTGTGTCCTCCAATTATTAAAAACATTTCTTGTTTATAACTTGAAATTTTTACTAAAGATATGAAAGATACACAAGAATTCCCTTTTATATACCAGATTTGATCTGAAATGGGTATAAATCAAACACTTCTAAATGCACCAGGAAATAGGAACTTTAAAGGTATCCAATTATGAATCATTCTATAAACGTAGTAGTCATTCCCTTTTTATCTTTCTTTGTAAATTTGAATTCCCACCTTCAATTAATTATCTTTGATTAAGGTAAAGTTATAGGGGCAGGTAAAAATCTTATTAGCATAGTGGCTAAGAGTGGGTTTTGGAGTCAGACTGCTTGTATTCAAATCTTGGCTTTACTATCTATTGTGAGCCTTTCAGAAGTTAAACTCTCTGTGCCTAAGTTTCCTCATCAGTTTACCTGTGAAGAATAACCGGAGATTGCTATTTTAAAATGTTAATAGCTTATAATGCATTTCTTTCTTTGTAGACCATATCCTTTTGTTTTATTCTATTCTAAGTTTCATGGGCTAGAGATGTGTGTTGATGCAAGGACTTTTGGGAATGAGGCTCGGTTCATCAGGCGTTCTTGTACACCCAATGCAGAGGTAAGCTTATAGAAGGCTTTTTTGGGGCCAGGGCAGAGATCTGAGCATTAAGTACAAAATGTGGTAGCTTAAGACACTTTAACTACTGATACATTTTATATCATCTAGCATCTTTCTTTTGTGGAATTTTAGGTAATATTAACTGTGAGGTCTTAAAAGTTACTGTGCACATTAAAGAAATTATGATGTTCCTTGTAAGAGAAAATACTAGACTCCTTTGTGTTTATCCAAGAGCTTGGCTGCTAATCAAAGGGTCGGCAGTTCAAATCCACCAGCCACTCCTTGGAAACCCTGTGGACAGTTCTACTCTGTCCTGTAGGGTCGCTGAGAGTCGGAATGGACTCAGCAGCACATAACAACAACAACAACAACAATAGGGGTTAAGTGTATGCTATGATTTGATCAAGTTAGATGACAAAGCTGAAAGCTAAAGTAGATTTTGTATGTGCCACTATAAAAATTTTTATAAAATTGTATTTTAGTGTGGAGTATATTTTTGGCTTTGTTTTCCTACATGCCAAAATAAGCATTCCAAATTATATGATACAATGTTGCAGTTAAGAGTGTGGAATTTGGAGCCAAACTTAGTAGATTCCTGTCTTTTCTGACTTACTAGCTTTGTAACCTTCGGAAAATTACTTAACCTCTTATGCCTCAGTTTTATCTGTAAAAAGGTGGTATGAGGACTGACACAGTTAATATGTGTAAATCACCTAGAACAGTGTCTGACATAGATAAGTGCTAAGCAGTTTGCTGTAACATCACTGCATTCCATCAAAACTAAGTTACGATAACTCAAGACTCATTAATTTCAGAGATACTAAAATGTGGGAACAGGTGAATCTTAGAATTGATGAAATACCGTATTTTTTTATGCCACATGGTGGGCTGTAGGAGTAGGGGTTGGCAGTCTGCAGGAACATTGAGTTTGAAAAACTGATTTATCTCCTTCCCAGTTGATAACTGCTGATTTGTAGCTACAAGTCTTGTAATTAATGGCTTATTTTCCAAGTTGTATTTGTAAAATGCTTCGAATAGTCTTCAAAATTGCAGGATAAAAAATGTTTCTAAGGTAGAAAATAATTTATAGAAATACAAAATTATTCTTTTAACTGACAGGTGAGGCATGAAATTGAAGATGGAACCATACATCTTTACATTTATTCTATACAAAATATTCCAAAGGGAACTGAAATTACTATTGCCTTTGATTTTGACTATGGGAATTGGTAAGTTCAAATGTATAAATATTGTACCTGTTGCTTCAAAATAGTTTCTTAATGTCCTTATGATTATCTAGACATTGTCATTAGTTTTTTAGCTTTTTATTTACCATGAGAAAGTTAAAAGTACCTAAAAATAAGCATTTTTGTATCATCTTCCATTACATCATTGTTTAGTTTTCTTGGAGCCCTGGTGGTGCAATGGTTAAGAGCTCAGCTGCTAAGCAAAAGGTTGGCAGTTCGAATCCACCGGCTGCTCCTTAGAAACCCTATGGGGCAGTTCTACTCTGTCCTATAGGTTTGCTGTGAGTGAACTGACTCGACGTCAATGGGTTTGGTTTTTTTGGTTTTTTAGTTTTCTTAACTTCCCCTATTATTGTGATGTAAATGTTCCTAGTAACTATAATTAATAATCCTAATTCAGCCATACAACACTGACCTAGTTTATATGAGAATTTTGTTTCTTTAGTTTATTCTTGTATTTTAGGGGATACAATTTTAGTCATCGAGTTAATTTGTTTAATCGGTGTGAACGAGTAATTTTTTTTGCCCTTCAAAATAAAATCGTACCAAATTTTCTTTGCAATATGAATTGAAAGGATTTTCAAACACTAGGAAAAAAAAACAAATTTTAATTCTGATTCTAGACATGTCAGTTTAAGTTTTTAAAAAGTTAATACACAAAAGATATAAATAATAATACAGACACCCACGTACACAGACTTCTCAAATCAAGAAACAAAATATTGTCCATTGAAGACCCCTTATGTTTACAGCCAGATGGCATCTCATCTTCCTTCTTCCCTCCTTCGCCAGAGATAACCAACCACTGGCTTTAATTTGGTGCATTTCTTTAATGTTTTACTGTTTCCATATAATATCTAGTATTTTGTATATTTTTAAACTTTATATAAATTGTTACATATTGTATTCCTCTGCTTTCAACTTTTTGCATTCATTACTTTTGTGACATTTAGCCATATTATTATATATAGCTCTGGTTCATTTATTTTCCCTGTTGATGACATTTATCTGTCCATTTCATTGTTGATGACTCTTTATATTAACAAAAAGTGTTCTGTGGCTTTTTAAACATGTCTGCTGTGTACATGTTCTTTCCATGTTAGTTACCTAGGAGTGGAATTGCTGGGCTATAGAATGTACACAGCCATAGTTTTTACTAGACATTGGTGAATTACTCTCCAAAGAAGCTTGCACCAATTTACTTTCCCACAGTAATTTAGTTCCTTGCTCCATTTCTTTACTGTAAGACTTTTAATATTGATGCTAATCTGTGTGAAATGGTATCGTTTTATATTTTAAATTATCATTTTCCTTGATTATTAATGAATCCAAGGATCTATTTATTTATTTAAATAAAGCAAGTACCACGCAGATACTTTATTTCCTTTGGCAAAGTGTCAAAAGTTGAGAGAGTAAACAGCTGTTACAACAAAATAAATATAATTTAAACAAAATCAAAGCCTGTATTTTTTAAATGACTAAGTTCTTATCTATTTCCAATCTCCATTTTATTTTGCCCATGAAGAAATAGTTCACAAATAAAACTAGAGAGACACTTCTCACGAAAATCTTAAGGCAGTAAAGCAATTTTCCTGAATCTTTTTTTTATATTATAGTTTCATAAATCAAATTAAACACATGTATGCAATTTTGCCTCACTTGGAAGATCATCCATAATATAAAATCTGTAAGGCTATTCATAAATGAATGTAGGATACAATCTCATGGCCTGATAACCTTTCACCCAAGATTTGATTGTTTTCAGCAAGGATCTCTTTATATATTCATTTGTTATTTGGATTTCCTCTCTGGTGAATTGCCTAATCATATTATCTGTCCATATTTCTGCTGGATAGTCTTTTTTCTTACTGAATTTTTTTGGAGTTCTTTATATCCAGAATATATCTTTATATATTCTATAGTCTTTTGAGCTATTGTAGTGTGTATTTTATCTTTTAAACTTTGTGTGGTATCCTTTTTAAATGCAGAAGTTTTTAATGTCCATATTTTCTCTAAACTAAATTCCTCTTCAGCTTACACCTCTGCCTGATTTTTGGAGTCTGATTTGTCACTGATGACTTCAGCTATTCTTTTTTAGCCTTTTTTCCCTTAGAAAGTGGAAAGTTTAGCATAATGGCTCTTTACTCATTGATTTGAGAGACTGTGTATGCCATAGTGGTTAAGAATAAAAGCTTTTTATTATCTGTCTGGTTTCAAGTCCTAGCTTAGTCTCTTACTAGCTGTATAACCTTGGACCAGTTTCTTCACTTCTTTGTGTCTCATCACCTTAAGTATAGTATGAGAATAAAAACAATAATAGCATCTAACAGGGACTTGCTGAAGATTCAGTGAGTTAACCCATAGAAAGTGTTTAAAACAGTTCCTGGCTCAAAGTACGTGCTTCATAAATATCAGCTGTTGTTATCATCATTATTTGCAGTCTGTTACCTAAAATCAAGGAAAATACCTAGGAAGAGTTTCAAGCTAGTCTGTCAGTACCTGATTCTGAGGGGTGGGGGAGTAGGACCATATATGTTTGAGTTCTACCCGATTCACAGAATTAAGCAGTTTGACTTATACCTGTCTAGCAGTGTTGAAGTGCTGAAAGTGAATGACTAGGAATATTAGAAAATTGGAAAAGTAAGTTGTTTTTATTGTAAACAAACAAAACATGCTATTGTTAACTCAAATTTGGGCATTTAGCTTGTATCCTAGAGATGAACTAAATGCTGGCGGTACTGTAGAGATAAAGAGGGCAGAGAGTTGACAAATATTGAAGAGATGAAAAGTGTGTGAGCTTTGGAGTCATACAGATCTATATCTGATGCCATCTCTACCACTTATTAACTGTGACTTTGGACAAGATACTGACCCTCTCTGAACTGTTCTCTCATCTGTAAAATGGGAGTAATAATTATCATCACTGTGAAAACGTGAGATAGTGCAATTATTTTTCAAGCTTCTGTTTAAAAGAGGAACACTTAAGAGGTGCAGAAGGAAATGTAACTTTAAATTTTTCAAGGTAGCTTTTTAAAGAAGTCTAGTTATTCAAATCATTCCTTAAATTAGAGATAAATTAGTTAAGGTTTGCTGTCTATTATAACTAACATTTTTTATGTAGGTCAAATTTAAGGTCAGTAGGTAGTTTTTCATATTCAGAACATATACTTTATCATATCTGGGACCACTGAAATAATTATGCTTTTTGCCTTCATGTTATTTTGTGTTTGCTACGGTGTCATTTTGGAAACACTGGTGGTGCAGTGGTTAAGAGCTATGGCTGCTAACCAAAAGGTCAGCAGTTCGAATCTACCAGGTGCTCTTTGGAAACTCTATGGTTAGTTCACCTTTGTCCTATAGTGTTGCTATGAGTCGGAAATTGACTCGACAGCAGTGCGTTTGGTTTGGGTTTACAGTATCATTTTACCTAAAAAATACAAAGGTTTTAATTTATTGTTCTTCTATGGTTGAAGACTCAATCTCTGGTCAGAAACTAACTTCCAATGATATTGTTTTTATGAGAAAAGAAAATTTCATTTGTGATAGTAACTAGGAATGCAAAGTAGTAAAAAGTAAGGATTACTTATAATTAGTATACAATTTTGTGGAATTGAAGCTTAAAACAGATTTGCTTTGTATCTTGAATAAATATTTAACTGATTATCTTTCCAGTAAGTACAAGGTGGATTGCGCATGCCTCAAAGAAAATCCAGAGTGCCCTGTTCTAAAACGTAGTTCTGAATCCACGGAAAACATCAATAGCGGTTATGAGACCAGAAGGAAAAAAGGAAAAAAAGACAAGGATATTGCAAAAGAGAAAGATACACAAAATCAGAATATTACTCTGGACTGTGAAGGAACAACCAACAAAATGAAGAGCCCAGAAAATAAACAGAGAAAGCTTTCTCCACTGAGATTATCAGTATCAAATAATCAGGTATTGATACATGCTCTAGTGATTCTCGATGAAAGAAATTGAGTTAACAAGGGAAAATAATTTGTCGTTTTTTAACCTTTTTGTTTTATGTAAAATTGCTTGTTTAAAATATTTTTAAGTCCATTCTGTTATTTTATGAAGTATTTGTAGGTGTAAAATACAAGTTCTGCTAGAGTTTGTATAGTATTTGTTATTAAGAAATAACTTAGTTATTGAATCCTTGCAGAATTGAGTATAACATTTTTCTAAGACTGGGTAATTTCAAAATACCTTCCAGGTGGCTATTTCTTTATGTTCATAATCAAGTGTTCTAATTTAAAATCTTAAACCATAAAATTTTCTTTCCTTAAAAATTTGAGACACAAATAATTACCATATTTTTATATAAATAACACGAACCTTCTGCATTTGTTTGCCACCTATGCCCTCCCCCCATGAGGTATTTTCATAAGTGTGCTAATTTTTTTTTTTTTTTTTTACAGCAACATGTAAAAAAATTGGCATAGTGGCACTTATGGAAATACCTCGCAGGGGGAGGGCACATTGGGCAAACAAACATAGAAGGCGTGAGTTATTTGCATAAAAATACGGTATATCAATCTTATAAGAGTGCTGCCACAAAATAACAAGTAAGATTTTTTTAGAGAAAAATCAATAAAGACATATAATATTTTATTATATGCCCTCTAAACAAATACAAGTTCAGAGTGGCCATTACAATGTGAAAATGAAGTAAATCTAAACAAATACAAGTTCGGAGTGACCATTACAATGTGAAAATGAAGTAAGGTTTTATTCATTTCCAATACATTATCTTTACTGAGAATAGTTTCCTTTAAGCTTTAAAGTGAACAAACATTTATTGAGGACTTGGTATTTGTAGGCACTGGGTTTTGTGAAATAATTGTATGTTTATGTTTTGGGAAGAACATAAACATAAGGCCATGCTACCATGTATGACCTTGTGGGCTCTTTATTGATAAGAACTCTATTGATTAGAACTTAAAAAACAAAAAATATTTGATCGCTTAATTTTGAAATATTTCTTGAATTAGGAGACCAGTTTTAAATTTCTTAAGTAGAATTAAGTACACTCGTAATGTTGATATGTTGAATTAGTTGTTTGCTTGTAAAGTAGTGATTGAAAGACATTTAGTTTATTGATGAAATAGCATTTTCTATAAAGCAGTCATTTCCACTTTCAGGAACCAGATTTTATTGATGATATAGAAGAAAAAACTATTAGCAACGAAGTAGAAATGGAATCAGAGGAGCAGATTGCAGAAAGGAAAAGGAAGATGGTAAGTTGGGAAATCAGTAGCTGCTTAATGCTGTTGCTTGGGCTTAGTGACAGCTGCTCTTCTCGTAGTAATTGTTGCTGCCATTATGTGGACTTCTACTGTTCTTTGTCTGAAGTTAGCACCTTTGAATCCTTGATGTGCCACTGAGTATTCTAACTGGCTTTTTCATTACCATTCAAGTAACTTCCACTAATCTTTTGTATTTTTACTATGTATTAGACATTTAAGAATGTATGACATTTAAGTAATAATACTTTAAACATTTTTTGAAGCTGAGAACAATTAATAAATTTTAATGCCACATTACTGTTTAAAATGTCTTTCATTAGCTAAATTTTATTTTCTCTCTCCAGGATTTAATATAAAACAAGAACTGAACTTTAAAGCTTATAACAGCACCAAATAAATGGCTTATGCAAAGAAAAAAAAAACCCTCCCAGCCACCCCCCGTTTGGTAGCTACTTCCTTCTGTATTCTCATACTATCATAAAATAAGGTTTTTATTAAAATAAAGTTCGGGGTTCATGTTCCTTGTACTATTTATTTGTAAATATCGATACAAAAACTAGGACAAGATACTTTCTCACAAATCAATGGTAATTTAGTGTTCAATATGTTAAGAAAGTATTATAGTTAAGAAATTATTACATTATACTTTGAGTGCCCCAAGATTTGAAAATGAGCTCACAAACTAATGATCTTTGTGTAAGTTTCACTATTCCCTTGTCTCCTGTTTTAGTGGTTCTCATGCTGTATTCCAGGGAATCCCAAGTGTCATATACTTAGGGGTCTGATCTTTGAAAGTGGTCATTGTAGGCCTGCTTGATATAGGAAGATCACCTTGGTGGTCATCTTTTTAGTACTGATTCATTGCTGCTATTCACAATTGTGAAAACAATGCAGAACTGTTTCGTAGCCTCAAGATTTCAGAAACAGTGCTCTTTTGGGACAGGGTAGGGTAAGAGATAGGAGACAAGCAAATCAAGGAGAAAATACTGGAGGAGGTTGGTTATAAAGGAGTTCCTGTACCTAAAGAAATTATCTTGAACCTTTTTCAAGATACAATTACAGGTGAATTACCTATACCTGTCCAAATTCTGATGGCTCTTTCTTGACTATAGATTTTCAGTAGTTTTCATCCTGTTCCTTGCAGTTACCACGGTCTTGTATTTGTACTAATCCTGCAGAAACTTTTGGGAAAACAACTTGAGTATCATTAGTTACTGTATGAGGCATGTGTCTGGTACAAGGAGAAACTTTTTACAACTTAATAATGGGCTATTAAGAACCACTTGAAAAAAGATATGGAAAAAAAAAAAATCTGGAGGTTCATTGTATGCCCACGAAATATTTTACTTAGATTGCTTTCTATTTAAAAGTTGATATGAGTATGGAGCTACTTTTATAACATATCCTCCTGTCAGTGCTGAGAAACTTAGTGGCATTTAGAACATTCTCATTCCCAGTTCCCAGAAGAAAATGGATACCCTTTTGTTGATGCAGAACTTGGTGGAACTTAAAAAAACAAACGCCATGGCTTACTTGGGAATCCATTTTTGGTTGGTCCTGTTGATTGTGCTTATAAACATGCTGTATTAATGTAGAAGAACACCTCAAAGTTTTTACATCCATCTTAGCATATTCATTCTAACATCTGCCACTAATGTGGCTGTAAAATTAGCTATTTCTGTGGGACTGAAATGTGGAAAACTTGAGAAGTGTGCTTATAACTTGTCTGGTATTATGAAAGGATGTGAAATAAAAATTTAAAAATCTTCCTTTGGCTTCTTGACCAGTAACCCCTCAAAGTCATTGCAGTTCTATTATTTTTAATTGATACATTTCTGTTGATGTTTGAATTACTGAATTTTTGGATATACTCAATCAGCAGAACACAAGAACATGCATCCTAGAATTCCTAAGCAATTAGTATTTTTTTCCCGCAAAGTCTGAAGGCCAAAATACTTGGTTTTGAAAAGTTTAAATATGAATCAGTCACTATTTTTCTAGCGTTTGTGGTATTAGTTAGATAAACGAAAGATAAGGTCAAGTCAAAAAGTGGCAACTAAAAAAAAAAACGGACAACTAAAACTGCACAAAGTGAAAATGTTAGTCATGATGCTACTCCAGAGAAATTTGTTAAACTGATAGAAATCACCTGTGACAGAACATTATGGGTATAATAGGAGATACTAGCTACCATGTATATTTATCAGATTGTGATAAAAGGAGTCAGTCATACCCTTCTTCTCAGATATGAAAATGTGAAAAAAAAAATGTAATCTATGAATTTAAAAGTACTTCAACTCATCTTTTTGTAGTGTAGCTTGAACAGTATGAAACTGCTGGTATTTGACTATTTCTACCTACACAAATGGCAGTTTCACACAAAAGATAATATTTAGTATCTTGTTCAGTCTCTAAAAATTGTACCAGTGGATTTATGTATTTTGGTTGCTGACTTTGCTTCTTTTTGATGAGAATGGAAGACAAAACAACATCTCTGCCTTCAGGGGCATTTACAACTACACTGTAGCAAGAGGAGGTAACCAAACCCATTGCTGTCCAGTGGATTACCCTATAGGACAGGGTAGAACTGTCCCAAAGGGTTTCAAGGCTGTAAATCTCTATGGAAGCAGACGGCCACATTTTTCTCCTGTGAAGTGGCTGGTAGGTTAGAACCGCCAACCTTTCAGTTAGCAGACAAGTCCTTAACCACTGTGCCACTAGGACTCCTAGAAGTGGTAAAAAACCAAAAACTAAATCTGTTGCTGTTGAGTCAGTTCTGACTCATAGTGACCCTATAGGATAGAGAACTGCCCTATAGGGTTTCCAAGGAGCAGCTGGTGGATACAGACTGCCAGCCTTTTGGTTATCAGCCGAGCTCTCAACCACTGCGCCAGTAGGACTCCTGGCGGTAAAGGAGACATGGTAGATCACTTATTGCTAAGGAGGATCAGAGACTTTCATGAACTAGGTAGTATTTATGATAGACCTTATGAGTAGGGTTTCAACAAGTACAAATTTACCTGCATGTAGAAGCAAACTGGTGGCTAAACTGTATAGAACTGAATGGTTGCTTGCTTCACCAGGGGAGATAGGCTAGAGATAAGATGTGATTAATCATTTTTGGCTAGGATTATAACTGGCTGTGTGTGTGTTGCGGGGGAGTGTAGGGAAATAAGGTTGGTTAGAGACCACAAGAAGTGTTAAATGATTTCACGAAAAAACGTCAAATCATTTTCTTTGGTCTTTTTTTTGTGCTTTAGATGGTTTACACAGCAAATTTCTCATTGAATTAATACCTGTATTGTTTTGTGACATTGGTGTCCAACTCCACGATGTGTCAACACTCTCCTCGACCTTGGGTTCCCCCTTACCTGCTTTCCTGCCCCCTCCAGCCTTCACGTCCTTGCCCCCCTAGGCTGGTGTGCCCATTTAGTTTCCTTTTATGGGTTTGTCTGATTTTTGGCTGAAGGGTGAACCTCAGGAATGACTTCAGTACTGAGTTACAAGGGTGTCCAGGGGCCATACTCTCGGTGTTTCTCCAGTCTCTGTCAGACTAGTAAGTCTGGCCTTTTTTTGTGAGTTAGGATTTTTTTCTGCATTTTTCTCCAGCTTTGTCCAGGACCCTCTATTGTGATCCCTGTCAGAGCAGTCAGTGGTGGTAGCTGGGCACCATCTAGTTGTGCTGGACTCAATTTGGTGGAGGCTATTAGTCCATTAGTCCTTTGGACTAATCTTTCCCTTGTGTCTTTGGTTTTCTTCATTCTCCCTTGCTCCAGACAGGGTGGGACCAGTGAAGTATCTTAGATGGATGCTTACAAGCTTTTAAGACCCCGGCTGCTGCTCACTGAAGTAGGATGTAGAATATTTTCTTTACAAATTATGTTATGCCAATTGAGCTAGGCGTCCCCCGAGACCTTGGTCCCCAGCCCTCAGCCCAGCAGTTTCAGTCCCTCAGGGAGTTTGGATGTGTCTATGGAGCTTCCGTGACCTTGCCTTGTACAAGTCGTGCTGGCTTCCTCAGTATTGTGTGCTGTCTTACCCTTCACCAAAGTTACCACTTACCTGTTGTCTAGTGTTTTTCCCTCCCCACTCCTCCCCTCCCTCGTAAGCATCAAAGATTTTTTCTTTTGTGTAAACCTTTTCATGAGTTTTTACAGTAGTGGTCTCATACAGTATTTTCCCTTTTGGTGATTGATTTATTTTCATGCAGCAAAATGCCCTCCAGATTGATCTATGTTGTGAGGTATTTCACAGATTCATCATTGTTCCTTACTGTTGCATGGTATTCCATTGTTCGTATGTACCATAGTTTATCCATTCATCTGTTGATGGGCCCTTAGGTTGTCTCCATCCTTTTGCTATTGTGAATAATGCTGCAGTGAACATGGACGTACATATTATCTATTTGAGTGATGGCTCTTATTTCTCTGGGATATATTCTAGAAGTGGGTTTGCTGGATCTTACAGTATTTCTATTTCTAGCTTTTTGAGGAAGCACCATATCATTTTCCAAAATGGTTGTACTGTTTTGCATTCCCATCAGCAGTGCATCTGAGTTCCAATCTTCCTGCAGCCTCTCCAACATTGTTTTGATTTGTGCCGGTAATGTCGGGCTGAGATGGTATCTCATTATAGTTTTGATTTGCATCTCTCTAATGGCTAGTGATCGCTAGCATTTCCTCATGTATCTGTTAGCAGCCTGAATGTCTTCTTTAACATTTCCTCTTCCCTCCATTTTCTCCGTTTTTTGGTACCTTTTCCCCCCCTTAAAGCTGATTGCTAATTGAAAGGTTGGTGGTTCGAAACCACCAGTGGCCTCTGTGGGAGGAAGATGTGACAGTCTGCTTCTGTAGAGATTTACAGCCTTGGAAACCCTGTGGGGCCGCTATGACTTGGCATCAATTCAACGGCAGTGGGTTTAAGAAGTTCTTACCTGCTTATAGAAGCAGACTTGTGGCTAAATTGCATAGGACTGAATGGATAGCTATTGT